TCTTTCTGCACACCTTTGCCAGCATTTGTTACTTTCTGTTTTTTTGTTTGTTTTATAATAGACATTCTGGTGGGGGTGAGGTGTTATCTCATTGTGGTTTTGATTTGTATTTCCCTGATGGCTAGTGATACTGAGCATTTTTTCTTAATTTGAGATCTGATCAGGTCATTTGCCCATTTCTGAACTGGATTGATTTTTCTTTTTTTTTTGTCATTAAGTTTTTGAGTTCTTAATGTATTTGGGATATTAACCCTTTGTCAGATAGCTCTAAACATTTTCTCCATTGTATTGGATGTCTGTTCACTGTTGATTGTTTCCTTTGCTGTGCAGAAGCTTCTGATTTTGCTATAATTCCATTGTCTAGTTTTTCTTTTGTTTTCTGTGCTTTTGGGATCTGATCAAAAAACAAAACAAAACAAAACAAAACCCACTTATACCAGTGTGTTGAAGTGTTTGTCCTATATTTTCTCCTAGCATGTTCATAGTTTGGATTTTACATTTAGGTCTTTGATCTATTGTGAGTTTATTTTTGTGTATGGTAAGAAGTCCTGCTCCATCCATCACGTTTATTACAGCAGTGTTGACAATAATCAAGGTATGGAATCCACCGGAGTGCCCATCATTAGATGAGTGGACAGAGAGAATGTGGTATATGTACAATATACAATGGAATATTATTCTACCATGAAAAGAATAAAATAGCTGTCTTCTGCAGCAAAAATGGATGGAACTGAAGATCATGTTAGGTGACTTAAGCTAGACACAGAAAGACATAATACTGCATGCTTTACTTCACATGTAGAAGCTAAAAAATACCTCAATCTGAACACAGAGTGGTGATTATTAGAGACTGAGAGTTGTAAGGACAGGTGGAGGGAGTTTGAATAGTGGGTTCCAAATCAGATCAAAGGAATAAGCTCATAATGCAATGTAATGGAAAAGACTATAGTTGATGATAACCTAGCATATATTATATAAAGTAGATAAAAGAGGCTTGAAGCCTTCAATCATAAAGTAATGTCAAAGAAGGGGAAATGTTGATTGCCCTGTTCAGATCAATATACATTGTATACATGTATTAAAATAACATACTATATTGCACATAAATATCTATAATTATTAACTTTAGAAGTAGTTGTTCTGTTCGTCCATTGCTCTATGAGGAGTCTATTATCATTTATATATTTAAGATCTATCTGTTGTAAGGAGTAGGGGATTTAAATCTATTTTCTAATTATAGTGGGAAATTCCTAGTGGATTCCAGTTGTAATAGAGAATCCCAGGAGTGCTGTGGCCAGGGAGGAGGCCTGGAGCTGAGTTATTTCCCATTGCTATACTGTCGTTGCACCAATGACATTTTTTGAAGTCCAATTTTATTATAATGACTGGTGTTTTATAGTTAGTGTGAGATTCACTGTCCATGTGTTCTGGGAAATTTAGTGTTGGGTAAAGTGTTTATTGTTTTCAGTGAGACATATTTGTTATGACTTCTAGTCTTACATGAGGATTTGGTCTCTTGAAGCAGTGCTCCCAAAATAATCCAGTATTTAATGGCAAATTTTAAATTATTTGGTTGTCACAGAATCAAGTACTTAAAATTTTTTCACATGTTTTTGCTTTGGGGTAAGTTTCTAAAACCTAACAATGCCAAAGTATCTTTGGAAATGGATCTGTTGCTTTTAAGGAGTAAATAGTTGAAGCCTGAAAACTTTAAAAGATTATTCATTTATTCTCTTATTGCTCTGGAAGTGATTTTTAAATATTATTACCAGAAACATTGTCTCTTTTTTGGGGGAAAGGTGGGAAAAATACATAAAAGTTCATCTTTCAGTGGTAGTAGAAAGGTAGTAAAGTAACAGTAGAAGCAGCATGAGGCATGTAGATTCTGCTGCTTAAAACTGTATGATCTGTTACTCAAAACCCTAAGTTAATCTTTCTTAGTCTTTGTGTAGTAGATACAACAATATATCTTTGTTTGTTTTAAGTGTTAGATGAAGCAATGAATCAGAAAGTTTTTTAACAATACAATTTTATACAAATGTTACCTTATTGGTAAGTAGGCTAATTACAATGCCAAATGATGACATACATTTTTTTTCCCTTGGTATATTAGCTAACTGCTGTGTGACATTATTGATGTTCATACCAGGTCATCTCTGGTGTTATTTACCCTGCTGCTCAGCAGTTGCAGCTGTAGCACTCTGAAGAGCTTGACGATTTCAGACTAAAAATACCAGGTTGCTTGAGCTCTATAGAAAACCTGAGAGCATTACTCCAAACATACCTAGACAATCCATGTTAGTAGAGATGGTAGTTCATAAGAGTTCTAAGAAATTTCGCTATGCTTGAAAGAGAGGAGAGGAAGTGTTTTAATTCTTGCTAAGATAGTAATAGCCCCCTGCCTCGTGCAAGAAGATGAAAGGAATCAAACCTCAGTTTAAAGAGGCCTCAAGAATCTTTCAGTTATAGCATCCATAAGGACCCGTTTTATGTTTCTATTCTGTTGTTAATATTTTAGCAGAATTATTTCATTTCCCATTTGCAAATCATAATGTTGGGATAGGCGTTCTTGGTTTAGTAGATAGTATGTGGAGTGAAGAGATGCTAAATCCCAGGATTGTAATGAATGTCTTTCATGGCTTGTTCTTCAGTCCCTGGATTCTAAAGATTTTTAAAGAAATAAACCTCAGGGGGGAAGAAGAGAAAGTCTTCCCAAATGTTGACATTGCTTGTGTTCTCTTACTGAACAAGCACAAAGGTGTGAGTTGTTTTCTTTACTGAAATATCATCATAACGTAGAAAAGCATAATTTTGTGGTATACCCCAGTTTTTGTTTTCATATAAAATTGTGTAGTATAGCAGCCGATCTCCAATTTATTCATTTATCTTAATTAAGATAATGATGGTCTGTTTTGTGAGTTAGACATGTAAGATTTTGCAAGCAATTTGTACAGTGAAATTAATTCATAGTTCTTGAAACTTTCTGATGATCGAGTTTTAACTTCAGTGGTAGAGGGAAGAGTCAGACTGTGTTTGAAGTCACTCCAGCTTTTTGTCTTCTTTGGGACCATTGGGTTGTAAGAATATATTCAATACCTTGGATTTTAATCTTTCCGAATGAAATCTTCCTGGGCTTGTTCATTTTGAGTTTAAGTTCTCAAAATTAAGCTCTGTCCTTAGTAGTACTAAAAACAGATAAAAAGAAATTTATTTTGCAAATGAATAAGAAAATAACATAAGGTTTATAGTTTTTTGTTTTTAAGATTTACTTATTTATTTGAAAGTCAGAGTTAAACAGAGAGAGGAGAGGCAGAGAGTGAGAGAGAGAAAGAGGTATTCCATCTGATGGTTCACTCCCAATTGGCCACAACAGCTGGAACTGTGCTGATCCAAAGCCAGGAGCCAGATACTTCTTCCCGGTATCCCACGCCGGTGCAGGAGCCTAAGGACTTGGGCATCTTCTACTGCTTTCCCAGGCCATAGCAGAGAGCTGGTTCAGAAGTGGAGCAGCCAGGGTGTTAACTCGCTGCGCCATAACGCTGGCCCCAAGATTTATAGTTAACTTGGAAAATTATAGTTAAGATTAACACGGATATTTTGGGGGCTGCTGAGTCATGAAAACTAGAGCTCTAGATTAAACTAGATTTTTAGTAAATGTATCTGAGATTTATTTTACTAGGAAATGAGACTTAAAGTGAGCATTTGGAAATTTTGGGAACAGCTATGTATGTGTTGGTTTGTGCTAGGGTTTATATGCATTTAAAACATGTAATGTAAAAAAAAAATCACTCTTTCAAGCAGTAGCAGCTTAGTGCTAATTTAATCTTACCTGCTTGGGTAATTTTACCTTGAAACAAGGTATATGTGTTCAAGAGTTGTCCATGATGACTGCCTGTAAATTACCTATGCAGGGGTGGGAAATTTTTTTCTGTCAAGAGCCATTGGATATTTATAATATCATTTGCAGTCCATACGAAATTATCAGCTTAAAAATTAGTCTGCCATAGATTTACTGAATTTGGAGTCCTAGTGGTTGCCTTGGCAGGACCAGATCAAATTTATTGGGCCTTGTATGGCCCAGGTGCAGGACATTCTCCACCCCAGTAGGAATCAAATCATTTCTTTGTATCTGTTATGAAGATTGTTTTATAAGCAGGAGAGTAAATCTCAGTCATTGTTTATTGTCTTTTGTTTATATTAATGTTTCTATGAATTTAAATGGTTATAAATCTGGAATATAATGTTCCACCAACATTTTAGATATTAATTTATTTAACAATTTAACTTTTGGTGATGAAGAATACTCCAAAAATATTACATTTCTTTTACTGGGTTAGTATGAATTAGGTAAGGATGGCAGAGGAAATATACAGTTCAGTCAGTGAACCTGAGGATTTAATTTATTCTGAAAATTGGTTTTAGATTTGTCAGTGAAGAGATAAAGTAGAAAGCACAACTGCTATTTTAAGATGATTTTAGTCTTCTAGAGTCTATGTGTATTCTGAAATCACTAGGAGAACAATATGATGCTTTTAAAAACCAGGGAGTTAGCAGTGCAATTTAGAATAATTTAAGAATTCGGAGAACATGGTGATTCTGGGCTATGCCTAGTCAAGTACACAGTAGGTCTTCAGCTTGAATTGAAGAGAGCTTTTAGGATTTCTGCTAGGAGGGGAGGCACAAGAGGGCTGTGAAAGTTCTTTCCATTACCTTTAATATGGTAACATCTTCTTCATGGGGTCCTGTTTCCACTAAATAAAATTATACATATAAACTAAGTAAGATGCCTTGTCTACAGAATGATTAAATAAATGGTGGCTTAAAAATTACTTGTAATTGAAATGTATAACTGAAATAATTTTATATGATAAACTAAGATGACTATTAAAAATTTATTTGTAGTAAAGAATATGGTGGTCTTTGTAGTTTGGGGGAGTTTTCTCAGTTTAACTTTGTACACTTCTAATTTTTTTTTTCTTTGAATCCCTTTCTTCCTTTAGGAGACAAGGATGGCAGCAAGGTAACTACAGTGGTGGCAACTCCTGGGCAGGGTCCAGACAGGCCACAAGAAGTCAGTTATACAGACACTAAAGTGATTGGAAATGGGTCATTTGGTGTAGTATATCAAGCAAAACTTTGTGATTCAGGAGAATTGGTTGCCATCAAGAAAGTATTACAGGACAAGAGATTTAAGGTAAGAACATTTGTGGCTATCTTTTTTTTTAATTTTATTTTATTTTATTTATTTGAAAGAGTTACAGAGAGAGGTAAAGACACAGAGAGAGGTCTTCCATTTGCTGGTTCACTCCTCAAATGGCTTCAATGGCTGGAGCTGTGCTGATCCGAAGCCAGGAGCCAGGAGCTTCTTGCAGGTCTCCCACATGGGTGCAGGGGCCCAAGGACTTGGGCTGTCTTCTACTGCTTTCCCAGGCCATAGCAGAGAGCAGCCGGGACTTGAACTGGCGCCCATATGAGATGCCGGCGCTTCAGGCCAGAGCTTTAACCCGCTGCGCCACAGTGCTGGTCCCATTTGTGGCTATCTTAATCAAGGGTTCATCAGAAAGTTCATGAAAAAATGGAATGAACAGCTAAGTTTATTTTGATGTAAAAATACTTGAAATCCAGATGGCCTAAGTGCTTGGGCTTCTGCATCCAAATGAGAGTCCTAGAAGAAGCTCCTGACTCGTGGCTTTGGTCTGCCCCAGCCCTGGCCATTACAGTGATTTGGTAAGTGATCCAGCAGATAGAAGAATACACACACACTCTCTCTCTCTGTCTCTCTCTGTCTCTCTCTGTCTCTCTCTCACCTCTCTGTTTTCCTGCCCCCCCCATGTAATTCTGCCTTTCAAATAAATAAATCTTAAAATACTTGAAATCCATTATACCTTTTCTATAATATGCATTTTCATGAAATTTTTGAAGAACATTCATATGCATGAATTTATTTTAAGATTTATTATTTGAAAGAGAGAGAGGGAGAAACAGAGAGATCTTCTATCCACTGGTTCACTCTCCAAAAGGGCTGCAATTGTCAAGGCTGAAACCAGGAGCCAAAGAGCTTCTTCTGGGTCTCCCATGTGGTGCAGGCTTCCAAGCACCTGGGCCTTCTTCTGTTGCTTTCCCAGGCACATTAGAGAAGCCAGATCAGAAGTGGAGTAACCTGGACTCAAACTGTTGGCCATATGTGATGCTGGCATTGCAGGCAAATGCTTTACCTGCTATGCCACAACGCTGTCCGCTCAAAATTACTTACACCTAAATAAATTTATCTTTTAATTCTTTTCCCCCAGACTTTGAATTAACTGCATATGTAAATTATTATTTTATTATAGTGACTTTTAATTACTTCTAGTGATATATTTTGTAGAGATAAAATTGACTGAGGTTTGCAATAATACTTTGTAACCAATACTGTGAATGATCTATGTATTTAAAATCCCTTTAAAGATGTTAATAAAAAAGTCACCCCACCCCCACCTTTAGAGAAGTACTGCCTGTAGCATATAAGCATTTGATACAGTTGACTGTGTTTCCTTTCTTGAAAAATTCCCTTGAAAAATTAATGAGATGCAACACTATAATTTTTCCAAATAACTTATCTTTCTTTGCTATCTTACCCTGTTTTTTTTTCCTTCTGCCCCTAGCAACCAGCAATTCTCAAAGCTCAATTTTTGTCATTTATTTTCATTTCTTACACTCCATAGGGAATCCTGTGTGTAGAAGCTTAGATGTTATCTTAGATGTAGGCTGTAATTAATGTTCTGTCATTAACAATGTATGTAACCTTGCTCCTTTCTCTTTCTCCCACCTCTACAATATTTTTCTGTGAATATCCTATGTGCTTAAAACTTTGCTAACGGGGCCAGCACTATGGTGTAGCCGGTAAAGTCAGTTCCCATATGGGTACCAGTTTGAGTCTCAGCTGCTCCTTTTCTGATCCAGCTCTCTGCTATGACCTGGGAAAGCAGTAGAGGATGGCCCAAGTCTTTGGGCCCCTGCATCCACTTGGGAGACCTGGAATAAGCTCGCTAGCTCCTGGCTTTGGATAGGCCCAGCCGTGGCTGTGGTGGCCATTTGGGGAGTGAACCAGTGGATGGAAGGCCTCTCTCTCTCTGCCTTTGCCTCTCTGAAACTCTGCCTTTCAAATAAATAAATAAATCTTTAAAAAAAAACAAACAAACTGTGCTAAACATGAAGGTACATAAAAGTAAGAGTTACTCTGAAGATAGCACAAGGTCTGTCGTCTACCTATTTTGGAATGCCTTGAACATTCTAAATAGAAATTTGTTTGTTTTTAATTCTAAAGCTTTTGTTTGTAGTTCTCGCCTTTCCTAAGCACTAGTCTTATGTTGTTAAATGCCTACTGGATCCTTTTAAAAACATTTTATTTTTTTATTTTCATTTATTTGGAAAGCAGAGCAAAGGTCTGAGGGGAGGGGCAGAGAAAGCAGAGAGGGGGATCTTCTATCCACTAATTCACTGCCAGATGCCCACAACAACTCAGGCTGGGCCAGGCTAAAAGATAATAGCCAGAAGTCTGGGTCTCCTGGTGGGTAGCAGGGATCCAATTACTTGAGCCATCACCTGCTGCTTCTCAGGGTGCAGATTATCAGAAAGCTAGATCAGAAGCGAAGCTGGGACTCAAATCCAGGCACTCTGACATGGATTGCAGGTATCCAGCTGACGTCTTACCCACAATGCTAAATGCCTGCTCCTGCCTACTGGATCTTAGTATCTGAATGTTGCATTATTATCTTAAACTGGCAAGTTCTCTTTTCTTAAAAATAAGATTTATTTTGTTAGTTTGAAAGGCAGAGATACAGAGAGAAAGAGAGGGAAAGACACAGAGAGAGATTCTCCATCTGTTGGTTCACCTCCCAGATGGCTGCAGTGATGGGACTGGACCATACGAAAGCCAAGAGTCAGGAGCTTCAGGTATCCCACATGGGTGCAGGAGCTCAGAGCCATCTGCTGCTGCTTTCCCAGGCGCATTAGTAGGGAGCTGAATTGGAAGTGGAACAGCCAGGACTGGGATGCCAGTGTAGAAGATAGCTGCTTTGCCTACTGTGCCACAACAGAGCCCCAAGGGCCTCTTTTCTAACCCTGACTTAACATTAAGCCCCAGTGGAAATCTTAATTTTTTTTCTTTTAAATATTTTATCATTCATCCTGTCATTTGGATTACTTCATTCTCTCATTTCTAATATCTAATCAGTGTCAAATTTGGGTGACATCCCACCTCCAACCCCTTACCCTGGTTTATGTGTTCCTTCTTTCCTTTGTCGTTATAGCTATTCTAGTCAATCCTTTACATTAGTCTTCTCCCTTCCAGGTGCTTTTATATGTGAACACTAGAATGATCCCCAAATTCTTTTTTTTTTTTTTTTTAAGATTTATTTGTTTATTCGAAAGGCAGAGTTACAGAGAAGCAGAGGCCGACAGAGAGAAGGCTTCCATCTTCTGGTTCACTCCCCAAATGGCCGCAATTACTGGAGCTGGGCCGATCTGAAGCCAGGAGCCAGGAGCTTCTTCCTGGTCTCCCATGTGAGTGCAGGGGCCCAAGAGTTGGGCCATCTTCTGCTGCTTTCCCAGACCGTAACAGGGAGCTGGTTTGGAAGTGGAGCAGCCAGGACTCAAACTGGTGCTGGTATGGGATGTAGGCATAGCAGGTGGTAGCTTTACCTACTATGCCACAGTGCCGCCCCCCCACACCCCCAATTCTACTTGTTCATGTTATTCCTCCTTCTATGGTTCTTCATAGTTAGTCTAGGAAAAACATCCTCTAGCTAGTTCAGATGTGCACCCAAGAGGTTCTCTAGATACTTAGTTTACCTAACCGTCTACATCCGGTTCTTGAAATATGTTGGTCTTTATGGCCTCTCAACTTTTATTCATCTTCCTGTCACTTCCATTTTCTTATTATCTGAATCCTGTGCATGTGTGTATGTGTGAAGACAGGTCAAATTCTTCTTCTGAAATTTCACAGATGATTTCAAACAGCTCTATGGATCTTTTATTTTGAATTTCTTGAACCCTTATTGTCCAGACACTAGGAAATTGTTTTTTATTTCTATGAGAAAGTATCCATTTTTGTAGTGTTTGTCTCCTGGATACTCACACATTAATGTTTTTAAATTAGTAGTTAATGATGATAGTAATTACCTAACAAATCCTTATTATTTGGATTTTTTTTACCCCTGTGAGTAGTAATACTTAATCCTTATCATTGGTTTTCTGACATTGATAAGTGTTACTGTTTGGATAAAGAAAAGTAAGTACAAAAAGATTCTAAATTAACTTTTCAAGGGTCACACAGCAGGTAAATGAATGGTCAAGGATTTGAATCTGGACAGTCTGACTCCAGAGTGGCTTAGTGTGTTTTGTTTTAATGTGTTATCACTGTGTTAAACTCTCCTCCTTTTTGCTTTTTCAGACAGAGTTTTGAACTTCTATTTTGAACTTCTATGTTACAATATCAGATTCTTAACAGGACAAATCTCTATCACAAGATTCAAACGTACTTACTCCTTCCTCTTCCCCGTGTGGTTACTTATAAGAGAAATGGGCTTTAAGATCCTCTGCTAATGATTACATTACATCTTATGAAGTGAATATGCCCTGATTTGAGTCATTATGTTATTGATAGCTATTGAGTTTGGATTTCTTTTTCTATCAAATAACAAATATAAAGGTACTTCAGAAAGATTGTGGAGAATGGAATTAAAAGATTTTTTTGTTGTAAAATTTTTTTGAAAATCTTATATAGAAGGATTCATTAAAATGTATATTACGAAAAAACTATGCACAGATTTCAAATATTTTTATACCAAAATAATCTCATCTTGTATTTTCACTTGCATGAACTTTTTGAAGTAATCTTACATATGTACTTAATTGGCATGAATTTTTTTAAGATTTATTTATTTAAAAGAGTTACAGAGACAGAAAGAGACAGAAAAAGAGATCTTCCATCTGCTGGTTCACTCCCAAAGAGCTGCAATGGCCAGGGCTGGGCCAGGTGAAAGCCAAGAGCCAGTAGAATTATCTGGGTCTCCCATATGGGTACAGGAGCCTAAGCACTTGGGCCACCTTTCACTGCTTTTCCAGCCACACTAGCAGGGAGCTGGATTGGAAATGGAGCAGCTAGGATGTGAACCAGTGCTCATATGTGATGCTGGCATCGCAAGTAGCAGC